AGGTTCTCCTCTCCTTTCTGATCTTAGTCTATCAGTTCTCATCAAAATTGGCTGCATTGTCCTCTACTGTGGCCTGGTAAGGCTGCTCCCCCCTCAGGGGGAGGTGATCAACGAGCAAGCCAATCAGATTATGTCAGAGGCAGTCCCTCTTCCCATTACTATGTAACCCACTTGGACACTGAACTGCCATGGGCTACATCTGTGCAGGAGTTCTAGGTTATCTCCACGAATAGTCCTTGGTTGGAGTATGAGTCTCTGGGAAGTTCCCTGTGTTTAAATTATCTTGTTCTGTTGCTCTGATTATGGAGTTCCCATCCCCTCCAGCTCTTACTATTTCCCACTTCTTACATAAAATTCCATTTTAAGTTCAGGTAACAGGTGACTTATTCAATCCATAAAATCAGGATTATGTAGCTTGGATATAACGCCTTTTTTTTTTTTTTGTATGTGTGTGTACTGTTTTTGCAACTAATGGACAGGAATCTGTTTTTTCAACAGGCATATCATCTATGCACCAAGCAGCCACAACAAGTATGCAGGAGAGTCGTTTCCAGGGATTTATGATGCTCTTTTTGATATTAATAGCAAACTGGACCATTCTAAGGCCTGGAGTGAAGTGAAGAGACAGATTTCTATTGCAGCCTTCACAGTACAAGCTGCAGCAGGGACTCTGAGAGAAGTAGCCTAAGGGTACTTTACAGAATCCATAGGTAGTAGGTATGATGTTATGGGAAGGATATATATATATATACAAAAATATATGTTTGAGCTTTCATGATTATGTGTAATATATGTATATATGAGTATATATACATGCATATATATATGTTTATTTTTCCTTGTGGATAAAAGAAGAGAAAAGTGGATTGATTTCTGTTCTATAATTTCAGGAAATTTCTATTTTATAATCTCAGAATGTATTTCTAAAATTTAAAGTTCAATTAAATATTAAACCTAAGGTGAGTGATCTAATATAGTGACACATTCATCTGACAGTATCAGGTGATAATCAGAAACCTAATACAGCATCCCCAGAGCTGTCATTTCAGTGTAAACAAGCATTACTTCATCAGGAGCACACCTTAGATAGTGCTCAAGGCTGCTCCACTCGCCTAGATGCTGCCTTGCTGTCAATGGATGCGAAGGTTGCCCAAACCACTCTAGCCGATGAATTCCGATTGTTCACACTTCTCATAATCCTCATCACTCTGCATTATAAAGCATATGATTTCCTTTCTTAGTGAAGGAAATCATAATTTTTGTAAAAGCTATATAAAACATATAAGCACAGCTACCAATTAATTGATATTTGTAGTTTAAGTAGCCATGCACTTTTGAACAATTGAGTCTTTTATATCAAGGATAATTACAGTCCTGATTTTTTTTATTTTCTTTTTTATTTATAAAATTTATCACTCATGGTTGTAAAAATTTTCATTAAAATATTTGCAAACTGAATATAAGAACACATCAAAAAGTTCATTCACCATGATCAAATAAGCTTCATCCTAGAGCTGCAGGGATGTTTCAACATGTGTGAATCAATACATGTAATCTATGATATAAACAGACTGAAAGACAAAACCCACTTGATCGTATCATTAAATGCAGAAAAGGCTTTCCGATAAAATCAAATACTCCTTCATGATGACAGTCCTGGATACAAGGGGCATACCTCAGCATACTGAAGTCAGTTTACTACATGCCCAGAGCCGTCCTCAGCTTAAATGAAGAGAAACCCAACGTAATTCCACCCGAATCAGGAGCAACACAAAGCTGTGCACTCTCTTCATCTCTATGTCATTTAGTACTTGAAGTCAGAGCCAGTTTAATAAGACTACACTGAAGGAGATCAAGTTGAAAAGGAAGAAGTTAAAGTGCCTTTATTTGCAGAAGATATAATAGTATACATAAATAACACTACGGATTCTACTGGCAAACTCCTATAGCTGGTAAGTACTTCAGCAAAACAGCTGAGTACAACTTAACTCACAAAAATTAGTCTTTCTTTATAAAACATGCAAACAGACCGAGAAATAATCCAAGGATACATCTTCACGATGGCCTCAAATAATATAAAATCTTGAAGTAACTGTAACTAACCAAGCAAAAGATTTGTGTTGTGGTTTGAATAAGAATGACCTTGATAGGCTAATATATTTGAATGCTAAGTCATCAGGAAGTGGCACTACATGAGAAGGCCTTGGTGTAGGAGATGAAGGCCTTTCGGAGAAAGTGTGTCACTGGTGATGGGCAATGAAGTTTCAAAAGCCCAAGACAGACCCAATGTCTCTCTGTTCTTGCTTCCTATGGGCATGTAGAATTCTCAGTTACTTCTCCAGCACCATGCCTGCCTGCGTGCTGCTATCTTCTCCACTATGAATTGATAATAAACTAAATCTCTGAAGAATTAAGCAATCCCCAATTAAATGCTACCTTTTATAAGCGTTCTGGTTGTCATGGTATCTCTTCATAACAAAAAAATACTGACTAAGACAACTTGTATGATAAAAACTTTAAGACATTCATGAAAGAGAGTGAAGAAGCTGTCCGAAGATGGAAAGATCTCTCATGCTCATGGATTGGTAGGATTAATATAGTAAAACAGACATTGTATCAAATGCAATCTACAGGCTCAATGCAGTTCCCATCAAAATTCCAACATGACTCTTCACAGCTATTAAAAGAACAATTTTCATCTTACTATGGAAACAGACACATTCACAAACACACAGGCACATGCACACACAAAACCCAAACAAAGCAAAATCAGAATAAATAAAATAACCCTGAATAATAAAACAACTGCTAGAGGTATCACAAGTGATGACTTCAAAATGTATTACAGAGCTATAAGTAAAAAAAAAAAAAAAAAAAATACTGGAATAAAACAGGCATGTTGTTTAATGAAATCAATTTCAAATCCAGGCATAATTCCACACACCTACAGATACCTTATTTTTGATTTAAAAAAAAGCTGAAATACACACTTGGAAAAAAGAGAGCATCTTCAACAAATGATGCTGAAAAAAACTGGATGACTGCACTTAAAAGATGCTAAATAGATTCTTATCTCCCTGAACAAGGCTAAACTAGAAATAAATCAAGAACCTCAATATAAAACTGAATACAATCAACCTGACAGAAGAGAAAATGGGGAATAACCTTAAACTCATCAGCACAGGAAAAGATTTTTTCAACAGAACGCTATTAACACAAGATCTAAGATTAACAGTTATTAAATGGAATCTCCTGGTTGAGGCAGTTACCACTGATCATGTGGATGCCCAGGAGCTGTGCAGAACTGGACCTGTTTCTCACTCCCTGCGGTGCTCCTGAGAGCTGAGGTGGCAGGTCCTGTGCTTTGCCTACGTATCACAGTGAAGCTGGCCCTGGTGGGGTGTGGATGAACTAACCCTGAGGGCATGAGTGTGGGAGATTGGGGGAGCTGCCCACAGGGTCGTGAGCAGCCAGAGAACTAACCTGGCCTCCTCACTGGCTGTAACCCTTGGGAGAGGGAGCACTGCACCTTGCCTGGGCAACACAGTGGAGCCTGCTTTGATGTTGAAGGCACAGGCCTTGAGGGTGTGAAAGCAGGCGAGCTGGCCCAGTCCCTAGCAGGCTACAACACTTGGGAGAGTGGGCTCTCTGCCTTGAATGGAGCACAATGGAGCTTGCTCTGGAGGCATGGGCTCTAGAAGCATGGGTGCAGATAAATTGGCCTCAAGGGCATGAAAACAGGAGAGCTTACCCTCCCTCACCGTGTGTGTGTGTGTGTGTGTGTGTGTGTGTGTGTGTGTGTGTGTGTTATTTTGGAAGAATACACTGCAAGAGGGAAGGGCAGCTATGAGGGGACAGTGCAAAGAATAAATAAAAAGTTAAAAATAAATGGAACCTCGTGAATCTGAGAAGCTTCTACATACCAAAAGATATTATCATTCGAAGTGGTGGCCTCATTGGCTGGAGAGATGGCTCACCTGTTAAGAATACTGGCTGTTCTTCCAGAGATGGAGCAAAGACTGGCCCAATGTGAGACCCACTCCAAGGAAGAAAGCCAATCCCTGACACTATTAATGATACTCTGTTATCTTACAGTAGGAGCCTAGCATAACAGCTTTCTGAAAGGATTCACCAGCAGCTGATAGAAACAGATGAGGAATAGGCTGCGCTCGGGGAGTTTGTGGAAGACTGAGGGGGAGGATAGAGAGAGCCAGAGGGATCAAGGCCACAACAAGAAGACCTATAGAGTAACTAAACTGGGCCCATGGGGACTCACAGAGACTGAACCACCAACTAAAGAGCATGCGCAGGCTGGACCCAGATCACCCACACATATGTAGCAGATAACAAGCTTGTTCTACATGTGGGTCCCTAACAACTAGATCAGGGGCTGCCTGTGACTCTTGCCTGTCTTTGGATTCCTTTCACATATCTGGGCTGCTTTTTCTAGCCTTAGTGGGAGAGAGTGCACCTAGTCCTGCTGCGACTTGATGTGCCAGGGTGGATTGGTACGCATAGGGTGCCTTCCCTTTTCTGAGCAAAAGGAGGAGGGTAAGAGGGTGGGACTAGGAGGAGGGTGGCAAAGTGAACAAAATAAATAGATAAATATCAAACAAAGAATAACAAAAAAAAAAAGTGGCAGCCTCCAGAACGGGAAAATATTTTTAACAACTCTACATTCAATAGAAGTCCGCAAGGGCCCATGTTAGTTTACTCTGTAGGTCTTCTGGTGGTGTACTTGACCCCTCAGGCTCCCTCAATTCTTTCTCCCACTCTTTCACAAAACTCCCCCAGCTCAGCCTATTGTCTCTTCATCTGTTTCCATCAGCTTCTGGCTGAAGCCTCTGTGAAGGCAGTTATGCTAAGCTCCTGTCTGTAAGCATAAAAGAGTATCATTAAGAGTGTCAAGGATTGGCTCTATACCATGGGTTGGGTCTCAAGTTAGGCCAGTCATTGGTTGATCATTCTCTCAATCTCTGTCCCATCTTTATTTCTTGTAGGCAGAACAAATTTGGGGTCAAAGATTTTATGGGTGGGTTAGTGTCACCCTCCCTCCACTGAAAGTCCCACCTGGCTACAGGAGGTGGCAACATCAGACTCCATATCCCTAGCTGTTAGGAATCTCAGCTAAGGTCACGGCCTAGGACATGATTAGTCCTTCTGTGACTTGAGGTGCCAGAGCAGGATGTTACCCTTAGCCTCCTTCTCTGAGAAGGAGACTGGGGGTAGAGAAAGGGGAACATGAGGGCTGAGGGCAAGACTGGGAGGAGAGGGAGAGAGGCTAGGACCAGGCTGCAAAGTGATTAAAGGAAAAAGAATGGTACTTTGCACTTTGCACACCACTGACACAGAAGTGTAAACATGAATCCAGCTATAAACTCTTTGATCAAAAATGTTGTCCTGCTTCAAGATTTGCTAACGTAATGGTGACAAAATGTTTCTGGGACTAGCTAACCAATGTCATGGCGTTTCCATGCCTTGAGATGGAACTCATTACCCACTACTGCTCCGATGAACCTGAGACTAGGTAGCTTCAGGACCAAATACTACTCTTCTAAAAAATATGAGTTAAATTAAACTTAAAAACTTAACAACAAAACAACTTAATGACAGTCTACTATACTTTTAGATCAGTACCTTGCTCAGCCATCATCAGAACTTTTTCCTGCTGAAGATGCTAACAAATAAAGAGTCCCAAATGGGATGGGCATTGGGCGTAGGAGAAAACAAGTAACAGGACAGGAGCCTACCACAGAGGGCCTCTGAAAGACCCTACCTAGCAGTGTATCAAAGCAGATACTAAGACTCATAACCAAATCTTCAGCAGAGTGCAGGAAATCATATGAAAGAAGGGGGAGTTAATATGACGTGGAGAGATAGGAGCTCCACAAGGTCCAAATATATCTGGGCATAGGAGTCTTATATGAGACTGTTTATCCAACCAAGGACCATGTATGGATATAACCTAGAACCTCTGCTTGGATGTAGCCCATGGTAGCTCAGTAACCAAGTGGTTTTTCCTAGTAGGGAACAGGGACTATTTCTGACAGGAACTCAATGGCAGGCTCTTAGATCTCCCCTCTCCCAAAGGGAGGAGCAGCCCTGCTAGGCCACAGAGGAGGACTTTGCAGCCAGTCCTGAAGAGACCTGATAAACTAGGGTCAGATGAAAGGGGAGGAGGACCTCCCCAATCAGTGGACTTAAAGGGGCAGGGAGGAGATGAGAGAGGGAGGGTGGGATCGGGAGGGAATGAGGGAGCAGGGTATAGCTGGGATACAGAGTTAATAAAATGTAACTAATAAGAAAAAAAATAAGAAAAAACAGAGTCCCACAGCCAGGCAGTATGCAAACATTGAGAGACTTTGGAACAATCAGGTCTAAATGGCATGCCCATATCAAATCCTTCTCTTCTGGGCTCACGGACTACAGTACAAGAGAAGGCAGAAGGAGTGTATGAGCCAGAGGTGATGGAGGACACCAAGAAAACAAGGTCCTCTAAAACAGGATGAGCTATGCATCTATGAATTCACAGAGACTGAAGCAGCATGCATGGGCCTACATGGGTCTCACCAGATGGAGTCCTAGAGCTGAAATGAGAAATGGACACACGCCCCTATCTCTAATCCAGAAACAATCTCTAATGGATAACCACTTTCATGTGTAAATTTAGGTTCCTCCAAGGGTGACACACTGGGTAAACAAACTGCTATTTGTTTCTTTGTGCTTTTTCTTGGGCTCTTTTCCATCTGTTTGTTCTGTGCTATGCCGATGCACTAATTTTTGTTTTGTTTTATTACACTTTATATTTTAATGTACTTCATTATTAACCCTTAGAAATCTGTTTGTTTTCTAACAAGAGACAGAAAGGGAATAGATCTGGACGATGGAACAGGTGAGAAGGAAGGAGCTATGAGGGATAGAAGAAATGGAAACTATAATCAGGATATAGTTGAAAAATATTTCTTCCATAAAAGGTAAAAAAAATGGTATGGTGTGGATGTGTGTGTGTGTTTGTGCATTTTTTAATTTTATTCAACTATGAAAAATATCTTAATGTTACCTTTCTGACAGCCTCCTTCATCTGTTTGTTTCTAAGACTATAGATGATAGGATTTAAGAATGGAGGAACAATGGTATAAAATACAGAAAGAGTAATCTCCTGGATTACTTTTAAGGCTACTGGAGGTCTTAGATACACATAGAAACCAGTACTGAGAAACACAGAGACCACAATAATGTGAGGGACACAGGTGGAAAAGGCCTTCCCTCTCTCTCCTTTGATAGGAACCTTCAACACAGTTGATAATATCTGAGCATATGATGTGGCAATGAAGGTAAAGCAGCTACCACCGATCACAATGGCAGAAAGAAGAAGTAAGAGTTTGTTGTTAAAGGTGTCTGAGCAAGAAAGCTTCAGCAAAGAGGGGACATCGCAAAAGAACTGAGGGACCACATTAGAGTGACAGAAGGAGAGCTGGAACGTTTTGATAGTGTGCACTCCTGCAATGATAAGAGAGCTAAAGAGAGAAGCCAGTGTCATCTGAACACAGAATTGGTGGTTCATAATCACAGGGTAGAGGAGAGGCTTACAGATGGCCACATAGCGGTCCTGGGCCATGATGGTGAGAAACAGAATCTCTACACATGCACAAAAGAAGACAAAAAAGATCTGTGCTGCACACCCAGCCACAGAAATTTTCCTGTGGTCAGTGAGAGAGTTGACACAGGCACTGGGGACAGTGACAGAAACGTAGCACATGTCTAAGATGGACAGATTCCTGAGGAAGAAGTACATGGGAGTGTTCAGGGTCTGGTCAACTGTAGTAGCGATGATGATGATAAGGTTCCCTAACAGGCTGCCCAGGTACACCAGAAGGAACAGCACACTGAGCAGCAGCCTGAGCTCCCAAGTCTCAGCAAAAACCGCCAGGAGGAACTCAGTCACCAGGGTGGAATTGGCCGTAATCTCACAGTACAGGTTTATCTGAAAAAGAAAAGCAATGACAGAATAACTTAAATTAATTGATTGATCACTAGCATTTCTCTTAAAACTGTTTTCTGTTTTCTAAAACTGGTCCTTATGTGTGAAAAATCAAGTATTTGTTTCTTTGGCTTGCATACATTTTTTAAATCATGCTTTGTTTCTTTTTTAAACTTTTTAATGTTAATTACAGTTTGTTAACTTTGTATCCCAGCTGTAGATCCCCTCCCTCATTGCTTCCCAAATCCACCCTCCCTCCTTCATCTCCTCCCATGCCCATCCCCAAGTCCACTGATAGGGGAGGTCCTCCTCCCCTTCCATCTGATCCTAGCCTATCAGGTCTCATCAGGATTGGCTGAATTATACTCATCTGTGGCCTGACAAAGTTGCTCCTTGCTCAGGGTGACTTGATCCAAGAGCCAGCCACTGAGTTCATGTCAGAGACAGCCCCTTTTGCCATTACTAGGGAACCCACTTGGAGACTGAGCTGCCAAGGGCTACACCGGTGCAGGGGTTCTAACTTACCTCCGTGCATGGTCGCTTCGCTGTATGTGCTGTCTGTCCAATTGTATGGCATGATGTGAAGCACTTAGAAACAGTTTCCATAATAATAACAATCTGATAAATCCTATTGTTTTAATAAAGGTTAATTGATTAATATATGCTAAGTTCCTCTTCCACATAAACAACCTGAATGAATTAGGAATGCCCAGGGAAATTTAACATCTGGGATGTGTTTTTAAAATTTTGTAGATGTATTTATTTTCATTTATGTGTTTACATGAAATACATTTATGTTTTATGATTATTTTTGTATACACACATATTTATATCCATATGAGAAAGGATGGGAGAAAGCAGTGAAAGTGAAATACTTGGACATAAGAAGACAAGTTGGGAAAGAGAGAGAAAGATGATCATGGAAGAAAGGGGAGGTTAGGAAATTATCTCAATCAGTTTTTGGAATATCTGAGACTACAGATTAGGCCATTTCCCTGGAAACTTGGTGCAGTTAACTTCATATGCTTGAGGTAGCATTTTCTCTTCTTGGAGAAACCTCATGTTTTCCAGAAAAATCACTTATATTACAGATGATCGTTTCTTTTCAATTTCTTTAAACCAAGTGTTTGAATATGTGAAGAGTATCTAAATACATATTCACAGAAACACCTGATGTATTGCTTTGCTAGCTGGTTCCTGAAACAAAACAAATTTGTACAAAGTACTAAACAGGAGGCAATGCATGATAGCCTTTATTATTATTTATTACAATTTATTCAATTTGTATCCCAGCTGTGGCCCCTTCCCTTCTTTCCTCCCAATCTCACCCTCCCTCCCTCTTTTCCTCCTTTGCCCCTCCCCTAGTCCACTGATAAGGGAGGTCTTCCTCCCCTACTCTTAGACCCTAGCCTATCAGGTCTCTTCAGGACTGGTTTCATTGTCCTCCTCAGTGGCCTGGCAAGGTTGCAACCCCCAGGGGCAGGTGATCAGAGGGCCTGTCACTGAGTTCATGCCAGAGAAAGCCCTTGCTCCTCTTATTAGAGAACCCAGTTGGAGACTGAGTCTAGGGGCTACATCTGAGCCAGGGTTTTAGGTCCTCTCCATGCATTGTCCTTGGCTAGGGTATCAGTCTCTGCAGGACCCCCCAGGGATCAGTTTTATTGGCTCTCTTGGTCTACTTTTGGAGCTCCTGTCCCCTCCATGTCTTTATATCTCTCCCTTCTTTCATAAGATTCCCTGCACTCTGCCCAATGTTTAGCTATGAGTCTCAGGCTCTGCTCTGAAACCTCAACCAATAGAGTATTTCAGAGGCTGATAGCTTTTATGTTCTTAAACATTCAACTCCAGGTTTGGCTGACATTAAAGTACACTGTGTAATATCATGATCAACAAACTATCAAATTACCTAAATAATGCTCAATACAAAAACAGTAAGGTATAAAATTTATAATCAAGTATAGGGCTGTTAAAATTCTGAGTTCTTTTTTAACTTTAATTTTATTTTTTATATCAATTACAGTTTATTCACTTTTATCCCACCTGTAGCCACTTCCCTATACCTTCCCAATTCCATCCTTCCTTCCTCTTCTCCTCTCATGGGCCTCTCCAAATCCACTGATAGGGGAGGTCCTCCTCCCCTTCCATCTGATCCTAGCCTTTCAGGTCTCATCAAGACTGTCTGCACTATCTTCCTCTGTGGCCTGGTAAGGCTGCTCCACACTCAGAAGGAGGTGATCAAAGAGCCAGCCCCTGAGTTCATGGCAGAAACAGTCCCTGTTCCCCTTACTAGGGAGCCCATTGGGAGGTCAACATCTGTGTAGCGGTTCTAGGTTATTTCCATGAATGGTCCTAGGTTGTGCTATCAGTCTCAGAAAAGAGCCCTGGGCCCATATTTCTTGGTTATATTGCTCTCCTTGTGGAGCTCCTGTTCCCTTCAGGTCTTTTGATCCCCGTTATTGAATAAGATTCCCTAAACCCTGCCCAAATTTTGGCTATGAGTCTCAGCATCTACTTTGATACATTGTTGAGTAGAGTTTTTCAGAGGTTCTGTGTGGTGGGCTCCTGTCCTGTTTACTATTTTCTCCCTCTACTTATGTCCATCTTGTTTGCCTTCCTGAGTGAGGATTGATCATCTTACCCTGGGTCCCCCATCTTGCTTAGCTTCTTCAGGTATGCAGATTTTAGTATGTTTATCTTACATTATATGTCAAATATCTACTTATAAGCGAGTATATACCATGTGTGTTTTTCGGGTTCTGAGATACCTCACTCAGGATGATCTTTTCTAGTTCCCACCATTTGCCTGCAAATTTCATGATTTCACTGTTTTTAATTGCTGAGAAGTATTCCATTGCGTAAATGTTCCACAATTTCTGTATCTATTCCTCAGTTGAGGGGCATATGAGTTGCTTTCAGGTTCTGGCTATTATGAATAAAGCTGCTATGAAAATGCTTGACTAAATGTCCTTGAATACTTGATCATATTTCGGATATATGCCCAGGAATGGTATTACTGGATCTTTATCATGTACAACAACAGATTGCAAGGAGGTATCTCCATCCCTGATCTCAAGCTAACTACACAGCAATAGTAATAAAAACTTCATAGTATTGGCATAGAACCAGAATAGTGGATCCATGCAACCAATTAGAAGACCTAAACAAACAAACAAACAAACAAACAAACAAAACCCACACACCTACAGATACTTTATTTTCTGACAAAGAAGCCAAAACCATACAATGGATAAAAGACAGCATCTTCAACAAATGGTACTGGTCTAACTGGATGTTTACATGTAAGAAAATGCATATAGAACCATACTATCACCCTGCACAAAACTAAAGTCCAAGTGGATCAAAGACCTCAACATAAAACCAGACATACTAAATTTGTTAGAAGAAAAACTGGGGAAAAGCCTGGAACTCATTGACACAGGAGACAACTTCCTGAACAGAACATCAACAACACAGGCTCTAAGAACAACAATCAATATTTGGGACCTCATGAAACTGAAAAAAATTCTGTAAAGCAAAGGACAATGTATTTAAACTAAAATGACACCCTACAGATTGGGAAAGTATCTTCACCAATCGAATATCTGAAAAATGGCTAATAAACATACTGTTTATTAGGTTAAATAGCAACAAATCAACAAATCAAACAAACCAATTAAAAATGGGGTACAGAGCTAAATAGAGAATTCTCTGTAGAGGAATATCGAATGGCAGAGAAACACAGAAATGTTAAATATCCTTAATCATCAGGGAAATTGCAAATCAGAATGACCATGAGATTTCCCCTTACATACATCAGAATGGCCAAGATAAAAAACTCAAGTGACAACATATGCTGGAGATGGTGTGGAGAAAGGGGCACCCTCCTCCATTGCTGGTGGAAATAAAAATTTGTACAACCACTTTGGAAATCAGTCTATCACTTTCTCAGACAATTAGGAATAGTGCTAACTCAAGATCCAGCTATACCACTCCTAGGCATATATCCAAAAGATGCTGAAGTATACAACAAGGACATTTGCTCAACCATGTTCATAGCAGTTATGTTTGTAATATAGGAAAACATTTTTACAATATTTAATACCATTTATGTATAAAACTTTCAATCTTATATAAAAGGGAATGTTTCTACTGTGAAAATAAAATCTTTTCCTAATGTTTGATACAACACAAAATTGATGTTCTTATTTTATCACTTTCACTGAATATATTATTGGGAAATTTTTCCAGAACATATTGGCAGAAAAAAAATAAGTAAAATTAAGGTGTCTGCACTATCTTATTGGCCTTCTGTGTGGTTTGTTGTTGTTTGTTTGTTATTTTATTTTTATTTTAAAATACAATTACATATCTCCCTTACATTTTCTCCTTACAAACCTCCCTGAAATATCCTCTTACTCTTCTTCATATCCATAACCTCTTTTTAAGTTGTTACTGCATGAACAAATCTATTTGTATACACATATATATTCCTAATTAAGCTTGTTCAGTCTGTGTATTTCTTGTATATATGTTGTCAGGAATGACCATTTGGCCCTAGACAACCAATTTAAAACCAGTCAGTTTCAATAAAATTTAAATATTACACTTTTTGATTGTCAAAACTAAATATACATGTTTAAAAAATAAGCAAGTGCACTTTTAATTCCCGAATAAATATGGAAATAAATTATTGTATATTGAGTTTCTGAATGTCTCCCTCAAAGTTGAATATTCATATTTGCACACTTTTAGACTGGTATGCCAATACACATGCATTTAATCAGACTTGACGCAAGAATATTTTGTTAACATCATACGTAGCAACAGATGAGAAGAAACACTGATCTGAAAAGATACGTATCCTGTTTGATGAACCATATCAAGTTTTTTTGTATGCTTAGAAGAAAGAATGACTTGTCTTGGAGGAATAAAATATTTTAAAACTTCCTACGATGAAAAAAATACACACATTTATAGCTTCTTATTTTTCCATCTATAAATGTAATTTTAAGTTTCTGGTGAAATCTGAAGACTGGTTTTAATTCATTTTTAAAGATTACCATTTCATGTTTATGAGTAATAAGAAAGTTAAAGGTTTATAAATGGTTTTAAAAATTTACTTCAAAATTTAATGCCTTGATTTTAAAATACTAAAGAAATTTATTCTTGGTTTTCTTCTGAAAGCTATGTGCAGTTGAAATGGAATTTAAAGAGGCAAGTTTAATAAGACTGAGCGTTCTCTTTATCAGTATTTTAAGTTATCCTATATACTTGATACATCAAGCATTGTCTATCTCTTTCAAAAAGGAACAGTGGATGATTTCAATATATTAAAATATATATTCCTAGTAAAATAAAATACGAAAACACAGTCAGGAAAGTCTTCATGATTCAGCCAGGAAAAAAGCCTTATCACCGTTGGGAGAGGGACTAGAGAGCTGGCTCAGTAGTTAGAGACATTTGGTAGCTATGCAGAGGAACGGGGTTCAGATTCCAGCACCCACGTGGTGGTTCACACTGTCCGTAACTTCAGCTCTGGAGGATAAAACACTCTTTGCTTGGCCCAAAGGGTACTGCATGAAAATGGTAAGCACATATTCATGCAGGCAAACATTTTATTTAGGAGTTTAGGAATACACGAGTATGTTTGCAAATAAGTATGTATGTAAGCTTGTAACATCAATCAATGCCAAAAGAGATCATGAAATTGAAAGTCAGCAAGGAGAGTATATGGGAGGGTTTGGAGGGAGGAAAAGGAATATAGAGAGAACATAATTATATTATAATTTCAAAAAGCAAACAAATAACTCTTAAATGTGTTAAAAGAAGGTTTACATGATGTTTACACAAGTCAATATGTATCTACCTAATTATGTAATACGTAAGTATATTGCTATTTTTATATAAATATGGTATAAATTTAAAATATAAGTGTATTATATGCTTTATAAAATGTTTTAATACTTACAACTTTTTTGGAATTTGTTTATATACAGTGGTGTATATTTTGTAAATATTGGATAAAGGTTTGCTAAGTACAAAGTGTTAGTTCACATAGAAACACAATGACCTGCTTTTGTGCTTTATGCATGACACTGTACTGTATCACACTCCTCAATATTGCTGGCACACTTAAAAAAATCTCCCATAAAATAGCAAGATTTTTCTGTGATTGCTTTTCTCTGAAAGTAATAGACTGTCTTCATACATTCTTCTAATGAAATTACTGGTCGTTTCTCAGGTGAAAAACATTACACGCATTTTTCCTAAATAATCAGGACTTGTAACTGGAATTCCTTCTCCATCTTAGGACCTCTCAAACCGAATTAAGGCATTGCTGGGAAATTTCTCCATAAATAAGAGGAAAAGATCGGGATAGTGACCATGCTCACAGGACACTCACCCAGGCGTTGCTCATCTTTCAAAAATGAGAAGAGAACGAAGCTCTCCGTTAACTTTCCCAACTCAAAGTCTTATGGATACTTCCACCAAATGTTCCTGTCTATTATGATTGCCGTAAGTCTCAATTTTTAGCAAAACACCAGTCTTGCCTTTAAAGATTGACTACTCTTGTTCTCTTTTATCTAAAATGTGGCTGTCCTCCTGAGTGCAAAGGCTCTGATGACACAGTCCTTAATTGGACAAAGTGCCCAGAGGTAATTTAGATAGGTGATGATTTCCATAAAACTGGTAAAAATGGACCCAATTAAAATCCAGGAATAGACGTAGGCTGTAGTGGCAGAAAAGGTGTCACCAGAGTCACCTGAAAGTGTGGCGATGATGACAGAGATAATGAAACAGTACAGGAAGCACACAGATAATATCCATCATCTCAAGAATGTGTCCGGCACTCTTACGGAGCTCAGGAAAACATCCTCTGTGGTATTAACATCTCAAACCAAGCAGATATTCAACATCTCTCCTCTCTTTGGGGTGATATGCTAACCTATGAGAGATGCTAAAAGAACAGAATGGACACTGTGCCCTTTAAAACCATAAAAATTCTGTAACATTTGATTCCTAAGGATTGAAACAAGAATGCAAGGCTTTGAACACCCATTAGCTATTGTAACACAGAGATCAACTGCATCCAAATCCACATGTCACCTTTCAGTTTTTTGAGTTTGTGAAAACACGTTTAAGTCTTTTAGTTACTTTTTGTAATTTTTAGAGATGTGTAAGGATTATGTCAAAATGTAAATTATGAATCACCCTCAAATATTCTTTAAAAATACAAAACATTTCACAACAGAATAGCCCACTGGTCATGAAACTTTAAGAGGTTGCAGTGTTACTGTTTCTCAGTTGGTTCTTACAATGTTGGATACTGGAAAGTAAAAGATTTTCAGATTTGACATCCTCATTTAAGTAGAAAGATTAGAAGACGCCATCAATCCAGGGCTACAGTTTCTGTCTGAAGGACATAAACTGAATGCAACAAGAAAATGAGAATACATGCTATGTTTCCAGTTCTTTCTTCATAGGAGAAGGTCTGAATTTGTTTTGTTTTGTTTCATGTTAAATATTTTAAAAACATTTATTTTATTATTTAGTTTATATTAACTTATTTTTTAGTTTACATTTTAATTAAAATATAATCTCATCACATCCCTCCCTTCAGTTCCATTTTGTCTCCTCCAGTTCCATTTAGGAATTAATTGGATGACACTTAGAAGTGGTTTGTGGGAGAAGTGTGGGAGAGTTTGGAAGTTGGCATCAGAAAAGGCCTAGCAAGTTGTAATCAGAGCTTAATGGGCCGCTCTGGTGGGAGGTGAGAAGACGAGAGTAACAGGAAAAAGATGTGAGCAGCGGACGTCCATCTCGAGAGGTTCTAGTAGAAAACACAGACACTTGTGAGAATCACTGCCTCCACGACGCAAGTAACTTTCAGGCCGTAAAACTCAGGATGTAGATAGCATTATCTGACAATAAAAAAGCAAAGACCTAATCCAACCACATTCATTGTTCTGGGAAAGTCTATAAATGTACTATCCTTACTTTTGGGCTTCTGTAGTTCTGCTTCTGGCTAGCTGTTCTTATTAACTGAAGAATGTCCATCCAGTATATGGTATTTGTGCTGAATCGAAAACACCCCAAAAGACTCAGGGCTACTCTGAAATCCTGAAAACCCAGCATAGTCTCAGACTGGCTGAAAAAGAATTTCTACTGGTTTAAATCGGCATTCAAGTGATCTTTAGGGGGTAGCCCACATTTCTGGAAGCCCAAGTGAAATCTCAAGAAACCAGACCTTAAGACATCTGGGCTCTCAGAGCCATGGCGATGGGGAAGAATGCAGTGCTCAGAGACTTCTGGGGGAGCACAACCTGCGATGTTCCATGTCCCCAGGACTCCGTTCAGCCAATCACTGCCTAATACTTCAAAGGAGTATGACAATCCACCAAAAAAAGAAAGAAAAGAAGGAAGAAAGAAGAGAAGAGAAGAGAAGAGAAGAGAAGAGAAGAGAAGAGAAGAGAAGAGAAGAGAAGAGAAGAGAAGAGAGAAAGAAAAAAACATATTAGAATGTTTCTTGAACTGTCACATCTGGAGGTACGTCTAGTTAAGGTGCCTTCTTTTCATACACGTAAATGAGGTCCGTTGCAGCAGGTAACCAGTGTCAGAATCCATTTAAGATGTCACTGGGCTCTCTTGTCCAGGTGTATGAATATGTGGTAGCCACCCCTGGTTGTCCTCTTGTGACACACAATACTCAACACCACTGCTTGTGTTTTTCTCTGTGTGTCTTATTATTTTTTTCTGTCAGTACTATTTTTCTTTATTGACCAGTAGCTTGATCTGGTATAAAAACCCCTAGCTTAAAATCTGGGCCCTCTTATTGGGAACTGGAATTCCTTTGACCATGTAAATTGCCCAGAGAAACCCGAAACTTCTGCTTTTTTTGGCAGAGCACCTGATTATTTGATGCCTGTTTCCTAAACTGACTCAGGCTCTTGCTCAGGCCAGGCCAGGCCTGTTCCCGGTGGGGAGGCAGAGAGGAGGCAGACCTCTCATTGAGGACTTTCTGCCATGGAGAGATTGCTCACAAGGAGGGGAAATAATTCCCTGAGGTATGAACTCCCTCTGCTCTCCTGGGTGCTCTAAGCAGCTCTGGGGAAGGGGAAAGGAGAAAATTCCATTCCTTTCTGCTCCATGATATATATCATCTTATCAAGAAATAATTTGTATAAAAATTCAAAATGTCCATCCTTTTTGCCTTTCGAGATGGGGATTGAGCATTTTGTCAGGGTCCTCTCTTGATTAGTTTCTTTAGGTGTACAGATTTTAATAGGTTTATCCTATATTATATGTCTATATGAGTGAGTATATAACGTGTGTGTCTTTCTGCTTCTGGGACAACTTACTCAGGATGATCCTTTCCAGGTCCCACCATTTACCTGTAATTTCATGATTTCCTTATTTTTCATTGCTGAGTAATACTCCATTGTATAGATGTACCACAATTTCTGCATCCATTCTTCAGTTGAGGGGCATCTGAGCTGTTTCCAGCTTCTGGCTATTACAAATAAAGCTGCTATGAACATGGTTGAGCAAATGTCCTTATTGTGTACTTGAGCCTCTTTTGGATATATGCCTAGGAGTGGTATGGCTGAATCTTGAGGAAGCGCTATTCCTAGTTGTCTGAGAAAGTGCCAGATTGATTTCGAGAGTGGTTGTACAAGTTTACATTCCCACCAGCAGTGGAGGAGGGTTCCCCTTTCTCCACAATCTCTCCAGCATGTGTTGTCACTTAAGCAATGCTCAATCCCCATCCTGAAAGGCAAAGAGGATGGACATCAGAAGAAGGAGAAAACAGGGAACAAGTTAGGAGCCTGCCACAGAGGGCCTCTGAAAGGCTCTGCCCTGCAGACTTATGGCCAACTGTTGGGCAGAGTGCATGGAATCTTATGAAAGAAGTGGGAAATAGTAAGATCTGGAAGGGACAGGAACTCCACAAGGAGAACAACAGAACCAGAAAATTTGAACACAGGGGTCTTCCCAGAGACTCATACTCCAACCAAGTACCAGGCATGGAGATAACCTAGAACCCCTACACAGATGTAGCCCATGGTAGTTTAGTGTCCAAGTGGGTTACATAGTAATGGGAAGAGGGACTGCCTCTGACATAATCTGATTGGCCTGCTCTTTGATCACCTCCCTCTGAAGGGGGAACAGCCTTACCAGGCCACAGAAGATGACAATGCAGCCACTCCTGATGAGATCTGATAGACTAAGATCAGAAGGAAGGAGAGGAGGACCTCCCCTATCACTGGACTTGGGGAGGGGCATGTGTGAAGAAGGGGGAGGGAGGGTGGTACCAGGAGGGAAGGAGGGAGGGGCTTATGGGGGGGAAGTGAATAAAGTGTAATTAATAAAATAAAATAAAATAATTCAAAATGTTCCTTCCAGTTTCAAAAAAAAAATGTAGAAATGCTGCCCCCAGGCCAAGTGGTTGGCAGAGCTGTTTCCTGACAGACAGTGCAACATAGACAGAATGGATTTCTTTTCTGCCCAACACTGACCTAGGAGTCTTTAAACAATTTTCACCAGATCCTCTTTTAGAAGGAATAAAGAGAGCTGCTAAAAATATTTTCTTTATCTCACAGCTATCCCCAGAATTTAAATGTATGTGTGTGTGCTCAGGCACACACATATATGTTAAAAATTGTAAAACTCGTTCTTGCTGGAGGTAGGTCATAGATGTTTAACAACAAAGAACTTACCGAGTGACAAGACTTTTTTCACACACTGAAAGCCATTGTCATCTTCTCTGATGATGAGGCATAGTTAGACTTACAGATAGCCAGCAACATTTTGAGGTCTTGCCCTCTGCCAGAAGAGTTTCTCCACCATGAAAACCTTCCACCTAATCACCAGATATAATTAGCCTATCTCTCAGATAGAAAACAAATTTTCCTGGGGGTCTGGGCAGAAATCAACCTGACAGGACATACTGAACTCCAAGTTTTTATAATTTTTCAAATAACAAGTTCAACTACCCCATATCCAGATTAAACAAGGCCCACAGGCCCTGGAAACAAAAAGGAAATTGCAGTATATATTGCTCACCCTTGGGGAGGGGAAAGGAATTCTGGAGCACTACCAGTCACTCTGGCATATAGTTCACCTCTTTGTGAAGAAACCTGGGAATTCTGGTTCTCATGTGAAAAATTCTTCAAGACAAACAGATGTACCACTCTCTTGAACCTGAGAGATCATCCGTCAGCCTGACATTGGCAGAGGTGAGTCAACCCATCTTTGCTTTTAAATGGACGGAACCAGAGGGAAATTATAGCAGACAATCTACCTGGACCAGGTTGCTCCAAGGACTTTAAAATTTTCTAACCCTGCTTGATGTGACGCTAAATTTTAGTTTCCAGTCCTTCCAACATAGGCTTTCGAAGACCATACTCTTATAAATGGTTCTCCCCATAGTCTCTAAAACCAAAATAACTTAATTTTTTTCCAAAATAACTTTTATAAAAGGACAACTGAAGGCTTTCTGCAAGAATTATAGAGCCGGAGCATCAGACTGTCAGCTAAGAAATCCCCCCCCCAAAAAAAAGAAATCCCCAAACTTGTACCTTAGAGATTACATTACTTTGGTATCAGGGAAGGGAAAGCAAAAAAATTCCATCCTAGATCATGGCCAGGGACCTCAGCCCAGATCAAAAATTGTTGATCTAGCCCAGGTTTCTAGATGGTGAAAAGGAAGGTCCATCACCATTAACATGGGAAATGGCCAGGCTTTTACTACCATGTGTGTCCATGGTATAATCTATAGAGTAAAAGCTTCTCAATACCGGGGAAAGGGCAGTAAAAATAAATCTTGACCCTCCTAGAGACTATTTGGATTTCTGTACAAATTTCTATTTGTCACTCTTCAGGACATCATAAAGATGACTCCCCTGACACAAGCGATAACTGAGCTAGTAGCCTGGCTGCTGGACAAGTGGTCATCATATTATGGTGACATAATATTTCTTGGTACGGTGTTGACTGAAAAAAAAATGAACAGCTCAAGCCTGTAGGTTTATGGAGGACACCAGAGGGTAAGATCAGTATCCACAAAGCAATTGGCAGGACTCTGGTAACTGCCTTTCATCAGGCTACTCGTTGGGTCCAGAAAACCTACTGAATTGCTCAGACCAAGCTATGGTATGACTGGACAGCCTGATGTGGATGTCTCAACCAGAATCCAGGATTGTGCTCAAGTAAATCCAAAACAGAGAGCTCTTACCCAGGCTGGCATCGGAATGAGAGGCCAACACCACAGAGAATTGTGGGAAACCAACTTCACTGAGTTGTAGTTTGCCAGGTAAGAATATGAATATTTGATAGTCTTTATAAACAATTTCCAGCTGTATAGAAGCAGTTACAACACGAACTGGAAACTGCTCAATAGTAGCTTAATAGCTCCTTCAGAAACTCCCTAGCAATGGGGCCCAACAATGACCTGGCTTTCATAGCCCAAACCCTTCATCTAATAGCTAAAGATTTAGGCATAAATCAAAAAAGTTCACTGTGCATACAATCCTCTGAATTATAGCCAAAACAAAACCCTTCCAATAACGGGTGGATAGACCTCTTTGCTTTTCTTTGCTTTGGGCCTGCTTCACTTCATATGGGGATGGATTTACCCCCTATGAGATTATGTCTGGAAATCTTTCTCATTTACTTCCCCAGCTCAGAAACATGAAGTTGGCAAAACTCTGTAACCATTCCTTTCTCAAGTAACTATAGGTCTTGCCCTCCTTTACAAAGGCTAGTCATGGGAATAGCCAAGAGACCTAGCTAAACTCTAGGCCCTAGAACCAACTTAATTACACTTTGGGTTCACCACACCCAGGTCGAAAGAATGGAAGCTGCAGACTCCAATGCCAAACTGACTGTCTCCCAGACTATGGAATCACAAAAATTAAGGTTTCACTGAGCCAAAGACCCTTCCGTTTCCTAGACTGCTACCTACTCCTGAGTCTTTTGCTTTGATAGGTTATGAGTATAGATAGGGTCAGGGTCCACCACCTACCACCCTCTGTTTTGGACCAGATATAGGAGAGATAACTAGCCTGACTATAGACCAACAATCTATTTTCCATCCTGACCTTCAGTCATTCCCAGTAAACATTTAATAACATTAATGGTCCTTAGGACAAATTACTCTTCCTTAGAGCTTTATGTGTCCATGATTTGATTCATCCACTAAGACCAGTAGGAAATGTAACAGACCCCTGGAACCTTAGTAAGCCTCCAGACTTCAGCAAAACTAACTTAATGAGGGAAGTATCATTCATCCCCCAAACTCGGCATATCGACAGGACAACCTACCTAAGAGAAAACAAAAACCTAATCCATCTCAATCCATAGTTCATGGTAAGTCTCTAAATACACTAACCCTGCTTTTCAGCTTCTGTAATTCTGCTTCTGGCTATCTTGTTCTTGTTAGCTAAAGTATGTTCACGCAGAATATATGTTTTGTGCTTAAAAGTTCATCTGGAGAAAGGCTCAGGGATACGCTGGGCTCCTGAATACACTGTAGTCTCAGAGCAGCTGATGAGGCTATCTATTGGCTTAAAACCATGTCCAAGTAGCATTCTTTGGTGGATACCCCAGAAGACTGTAAGACTTGAGGGACCACAGTGAATTATAACAGAGGGTTAAGGTTATGTTCTTAGATTTTAAATCAACTAGAGGTCAATAATAATAATAAAGTACAGTTTTCTTCTATTATCTTTGTGAGACTGTGGGGTTGAGCATTTCGGCACGCTGAAGTAAAGCAGTTTCACCGGATTTTGACATTTTTACTAGCCACGATGGAGCAGAGATTTCTGTGGTGACCTATAGAGTGTTGTGCTTGGCACTGTACTCTTGGCAAAATAAGCCAGATGCATAAATACAAACATCATGTGTTCACACAAATGTCTACATCCTCCACAGTTCACCCATGGAGGCAGGTTGCTGGCTGCTCCAGATGGAGGCACCGATTCACACGAGTGAGGCTGCTCCCTCATTGCTGCCTGGGTCCTCATTCAGAGCCCTGAGCTCCTTGCTGCCACCTGGCCTGATTCTGTCAGCACAGCTAAAAGAGCAGTCACACTTTAAAAAAAAAATTATTATTATTATTATTATTATTATTATTATTTACTACAATTTATTCAATTTGTATCCCACCTGTGGCCCCCTCCCACTCCCCCCCTCTTCCCCCTATGCCCCTCCCCTTGTCCACTGATAGGGGAGGTCCTCCTTCCTTTCTATTTGACCCTAGCTTATCAGGTCTCATCAGGACTGATTGCATTATCTTCCTCTGTGGTCTGGCAAGGCTGCACCCCCAAGGAGAAGGTGATCAGAGAGCCAGCCACTGAGTTCATGCCAGAGACAGCTCCTGCTCCCCTTACTAGGGACCCCACTTGGAAGCTTAGTCTATGCACTACATCTGAGCTGGGGTTTTAAGTCCTCTCCATGCATTGTCCTTATTTGGGGCATTGGTCTCTTCAGGGTCCCTAGGTCTCAGTTTTTATGGTTCTCTTGGTCTCATTTTGGAGCTCCTGTCCCCTCCAGGTCTAACACTTTTTGAGGGAAAATCTTTCTTCCTGTACCTCAGGATGAACTGAAGATCTTCTGGAATGGATCTCAGTTCCATGTCCCACCCTTCTCAGCTCAAAGACAGGAATTCCTGGGAGAGGCGGAACCTTTGACCCCACAGTTTACCCCTTTCTGCACAGAAATAGAAGACGCTTGGGCCTTCTCCCGGGAGAAGTGTATACTTCTGGCCAGATGGTGTCTTGGCCTCCTGGGAGACACAGAAGCACACCTTATAGCACTTACCAAATGCTTCATAAATTCTATTCCATTAAATTCTCCCAACAGTCAACTGGTGTCTCTACTCTGTTACACTGGACTTTACATGAAGAAATGAAGCCTTAGTCAGTTTGTATGGCACAACCTTCCTTGCACGTAGGAACTGACAGAATCAGGGTTTAAAATACATCTTTCATATCTTTCTTCAACTCCAAGGTCACTGTTGTTCACTTCCAGATAATGAGGCCTAATTGTCGAATTGTTAGTTTTCAATGTCAGTGGATACTGCTATCTAAAAACGAGTCCTAGATAACTAAGTCTACAAGATAGTGAGGGGAAAAAAATCATAGAATAAAAAAAAAAAATACTTTGAAGTAACTTGAAGTAATCAGTTTTGTTCTAATTTTTAGAAACACCTAATATTAATTATAGAAATTGATTTATTTTCGTTTTTGACAATGAAATTTAGTGAATAAATCAGTGTAATGGAGACCAAACACAAAAATAAAATAAAATAAAATAATAAAATAAAATGGCTGTTTCTATTGTGATTCTCACACAGTACCCAAAACCGCTCCAAGCGCCAATCCCACTGAACCCTTAGGTTCTACAGTGAAGTCTGGTTTACATTAATTTCCTCATCTCGGTTTGCCACCTCACTGTTAAGTAATACAGAAAGTAGGGAAAGCAGGGAACTTGCCAGCCGCCCCTCCCGCCCGAATAGCACCCCCATCAGAATGTAAATCAGCTTGTTGCGGCAGAGAAGAAAGTATTCGCAGCGGAGGTAGCTGCTCTGTCTACTTCCCGTGAGGCTGTGGGTGCTCACGTGACTCCTGTCAACTAGGTAGCACAGCTTTCCCGGAAAACCTGCCCTATTCCTATTGATCGCGATGAAGTTCTCCTCCTCAACAAAGTCTCGTGCCTGTGTAAGGAAAATCTATGAATGTTTTTCTGCATAGAATTATTATAGCTGTTATTATTTGGTGGTTTTCAGGCAGAGTCTCTTTATTTAGCCCAGGAGGCCGTGAAACTCCCAAGTTAGTCCCGCCTTGCCTCCTCACCCCCAACACGGTGATAATTTTATTACAGCTTTAAAATTGCTTATTTTTTTTAACATTCGGAGTTCCACATACTGTCCTGATGACTCTCTTACAATCCAAATTCTTAAGAAATGCAATATTTTGGAGACCCAAAATAATCTCTGCCGCACTTGCTGTATTTCCTGGTTCCACAAATATGAAATCGGCCATATTCGCCAGTAGGTGGCGATATCCTACAAGTAAAATTGGTTTCTTTTTTTTTTTTTTTTTTTTTTTTTTTTTCCCTTTGGACAATATTTATGCTACTTCATTTTCTTTTTTTTTTTTTTTTAGTTACATTTTGTTAACTCTGTGTCCCAGCTGTATCCCGCTCCCTCATTCCCTCCCCAACCCCACACTCCCTCCTTGGTCTCCTCCCTGCCCCTTTCCAAGTCCCCTGATAGGGGAGGACCTCCTCCCCTTTCATCTGTCCCTGTTTTATCAGGTATCTTCAGGGCTGGCTGCAAAGTCCTCCTCTGTGGCCTAACAGACTGCTCCTCCCCTGGGGGGAGGTGTCAAACAGCCTGCCCTTGAGATCCTGTTAGAAAATTTTCCCAACTTAAAGAAAGAGATGTCCATAAATATACAAGAGGCCTACAGAACACCAAATAGACTAGACAAGAAAAGAAACACATCACGTCACATCATAGTCAAAACACTAAATCTACAGAACAAAGAAAAGATATTAAAAGCAGCAAGGGAAAAAGGCCAAGTAACATATGAAGGTAGACCTATCAGAATCACACCAGACTTCTCATCAGAAACTATGAAAGCCAGAAGGGCCTGGGCAAGCATCATGGAGACTCTAAGAGATCACAAATGTCAACCGAGACTACTATACCCTGCAAAGCTTTCAATCAACATAGATGGAGAAAACAAAATATTCCATGACAAAACTAAATTTACGCAATATCTATACAGCAAACCAACCCTACAGAAGATACTAGAAGGAAAACTCCAATCCAACGAAAACGAATTCACCCAAGAAAACAGGGCATACAGATAACATCCCAACAAAAATGAAAAGAAAACAAGCAATGAAACAAGGTAAGATCATCGACTCCATTACAAAAGGAACTAACATGCATTGGTCAATATTATCTATCAATATTAATGGACTCAACTCACCAATAAAAAGACACAGGCTAACAGAATGGTTACGGAAACAGGACCCAACATTCTGTTGCATCCAAGAAACACACCTATGCAACAAAGATAAACACTACCTCAGAGTAAAGGGCTGGAAAAATGTTTTTCAAGCAAATGGTTCCAGAAAACAAGCTGGAGTAGCCATCCTAATATCTAATAAAATAGACTTTCAACCCAAGTTAATCAAAAAAGATAAGGAGGGCCACTATATTCTCATCAAAGGAAAAATCCAACAAGAGGACATCACAATTTTGAATATCTATGCCCCAAATACAAGAGCACCTACATTCGTAAATGAAACAATATTAAAGCTTAAATCATACATTGATCCTAATACCTTAATAGTAGGAGACTTCAACACCCCACTCTCATCAAGGGACAGATCAACCAGACAGACACCAAATAGGGAAATAAAAGCACTCACAGAATCCCTAAATCAAATGGACCTAATAGATGTCTACAGATCTTTTCACCCAAACTCAAAAGAGTACACCTTCTTTTCAGCACCACATGGAACCTTCTCCAAAATAGACCATATAGTTGGTCACAAAGCAAGCCTCAACAGATACAAAAGGATTGTATACTCTGGTTTCTCTTCAGATCGTATAAATCTTTCGCCTTTTACTAAAATTGGTTTCTTGAGCAGGATAATTTTGTAAAAGTTCCAACGCCCTTATACACTGTGATCATTTTTTTTAATCTTTCAGAATTGCACATACTTTCCTGTTTTTTTCTCTTGTAATCAAAGTTCTTAGAAAATTCAATGTTTTTTTGAGATCCAAAATGTGTATTTTAAAATGTGATTTTTAAAAGGTGTATATTCTGTTAATGTGCATTCTGATATAATGAGAAATTGGCTTCATGGTCAAATTTTCTTTGTAATTTTTCCACCCAGTAAATTGGAAACAGCTCTTCACTGTGAATGGAGGACATTATCTCTGCTTAAATAATGGCAGAATTTTTTAAAGAATACTTATACTTGAAAGTCTTCTAAATCGAAGTTTACTGAGAAGAGTATGGCAGTTGTGCATGTTCAAATTCCCAGTTTTCAGGCAGGTTCAGGGCTGCACCCCTGTAATCCCAGCATTGGGGAGACAGAGGCAGGCAGATCTCTGTGGGTTCAATACCAGCCTGGTCTACAAAGTGTGTCCAGGACAGCCAAGGCTACACAGAGAAACCCTGTCTCGCATAAATAGAGAGAGAGAGAGAGAGAGAGAGAGAGAGAGAGAAGAAGAAGAAGAAGAAGAAGAAGAAGAAGAAGAAGAAGAAGAAGAAGAAGAAAGAAAGAAAGAAAGAAATATCATTTCCAGCTCCCCCTTCATCTGTTGAGTGTGGACCGCTCATCCTCTCAAATGTAGTTTAGAAGAGTTTGCTTTGTTTCTCACTGGCAGCCACTGTGAAAATGTTCTCAAACCAACTTTCTTTTAATATGGCAAATTTGTGGGAAACATGATCCAACTTCATTTAAATGTGTGCATCCGAGAAAGACAGATGTGCCTTGTGTGGAAGGGTGTTAATATTTATGTTTATAGATTTAAATATCTTGTTATAGGAACATTCCAGACTCCTCCAAGAACATGGAGCTTATAGTAGTCGATTCTTCCATAGGTGAGTTTATTGGCCCCCTTCAAAAACAGGGATTATTCTGGAGGGAATAATTTGGCCGAAGAATTCTATCCTAGCATAGAAAGATGCACATTATCATGGAGGTAGGAAGCTGTGGCTGGTTTCACATCTCTTGCCTTGCTGTAGGGCAGACTTCATGAGTAATTAACAGGCATTTTCCCACCCTGTATTACAGTGTTGGTTCAGCAAAACCTCATTTCTTAGTTTGCCTCCTCTAACAGATTCTCTTCACTATGGCAACAAATACCTGTTGAATGCATAAGTCACAAACTTGAAGAATCTTTTGTTTTTGAATGATGCATAAGACTTTATATAGGGATTTGTGACATATCTCATTAAGCAGAGAGCATCTTCAGATGAGCCTGACTAAAATTGTATCTCAGCATCCCATTTATAGATGGACAGTGGGAACTGACTCCACATGATTGTATTCTGACTTTCACATGTGCATCATGACACACACTTGGTTTCACTTTTCTCTTTTCACAAGCCTTCTGTCCTCTTGTTCCACTTTCCCCAGGTCTACTCTCATAGTTCGCTGTGCCCCTTTCCTACCTTGTTCCCTCTTTTCAACCACTACCTCCGTCTGTTCTATTTCCCCAACTGAGTGAGATGTACGCTTCCTCTCTTGGGTCCTCCTTGTTACTTATCTTCTCTGGATCTGTGCCTTGTAGTATGCTTATCCTGTACTATATGGCTAAAATCCACTTATAAGTGAGTACATACCATGTGTGTCTTTCTGAGTGTGGGTTACCTCACTCAGGATGATCTTTTCTAGTTCCATCCATCTGCCTGCAGATTTCATGATTTCCTTGTTTTAATTGCTCAATATATTCCATTTTGTAAATGTACCACAATTTCTGTATCCATTCTTCTATTGAGGGACATCTAGGTTGTTTCCAGATTCTGGCTATTATGAATAAAGCTGCTGTGAACATAGTTGAGCAAATGTCCTTATTGTATGGTGGAGTGTCTTTTGGGTATATACCCAGGAGTGGTATAGCTGGGTCTTGAAATAGCACTATTCCCAATTTTCAGATAAATTGACAGATTTATTATCACATTGTTTATGCAACTTTGCACTTCCACCAGCAATGAAGGAGGGTTCCTCTTTTTCCATATCTTCAACAGCATGTGTTGTCACATGAGTTTTGATCTTAGTCCTTCTGACTTGTGTAAGATAAAATCTCAGAATTGTTTTGATTTGCAATTCCCTGATGTCTAAGGATGTTTAGCATTTCCTTAAATGCTTATTGGCCATTTGAGATTTCTCTGTTGAGAATTCTGTTTAGTTCTGCGCCCCATTTTTAATTGGGTTATTTTGTGTATTGGTGTTTGATTTCCTGAGTTCGTTATATATTTTGAATATTAGCTTTTTGTGGGATGTAGGTTTGGTGAAATCTTTTCCTAATGTGTGGACACTATTTACACTGTTCTTTGTCTTAGAGAAGCTTTCTAGTTTCAACAGGTGCCGTTTACTAATTGTTCATCTTAGGGTTTCAAGAAGTCCCATTCATTAACTTTTCATCTTGATCATCTAATAGATTTAGTGTATCTGGTGTTATATTGGGGTTTTTGATCTTCTTGCTTTTGTGCATGGTAGTAAATATGGATCTATTTGCACTTCTCTAAACGTAGACATCTAATTAGACTAGCACCATTTGTTGAAAATGCTGTCTTTTTTTCCCCATTGCATGGTTTTGGCTCCTTTGTAAAAAAATCAAATGTCTGTATGTGTTCGGGTTTATTTCTGGGTCTTTGATTCAATTCCATTGATCTTCCATTCTGTGTCTGTGATAGTACCATGCCGTTTTTATTACTGTTGTTTCATATTACAGCTTGAGACCAGGGATGAAGATAGCCCCAGAAGATCTTTTATTGTACAGGACTGTTTCAGCTATTCTGGGTTTCTTTTTTCATATGAAGAATTATTCTTTCCAGGTCTGGAAAGAACTGTGTTAGTATTTTGATGGAAACTGCATTGAATCTGTAGATTTCTTTTGTTAGGATGGCCTATTTTACTATGGTAATTCTGCCATGAACTTGGAAGATCTTTCCATCTTCTGTTATCTTCTTCAACTTCTTTCTTCAGAGACTTGAAGGGTTTTTTGTTTGTTTGTTTTTGTTTTGTTTTGTTTTCATACAAGTCTTTCACTTACTTCGTTAGAGTTACACCAAGGTACTTTGTGTTATTTGTTGCTATTGTAAAGGGTGTTTTCCCTTAATTTTTTTTCAGCCTGTTTGTCTTTTAAATACAGGAGGGTTACTGATTTCTTTTTAATTAATTTTGAATCCAGCCACTTTGCTGAAGGTGTTTATCAACTGCAGAAGTTCCCTGGTAGAATTTTTTGGGTCACGTATGTATACTATCATATGATATGCAAATAGTGATACTT